TTCTCCATCAATTTGGTTTGGGCCGGGTTTGGGCTCTGCCCGGTGCAGAGCTCTACCCTGCGTGTGTAGTTACCCAGCGGACCGGCCAGCCTGAGCAGAGCCAGAGGGTTGAACGGATTCATAGCCGAGCCCAGAGCTTTGATCCACAGGGGGATCCTGCACTGTAGGTCCTCCTCATCGGGCCGCTCTGTGAAACCCCACGGCTCCACCAGAACCAACTGCTGCACCCTGAGCCACAAACAGCACCGAGCAGCAGGTCAGACAACGATGAGCCGATCAGACCCACATTAGCATCATTACTACTGCACAAAACAAGAGACCGGTGATCGATTAACTGTTTATCTGGCATTCAGTCGTTATTTACTTAAGAACTGGATCACTGATACAGGTGAGCACAGCAGATCCTCACAGCCGTGATCTTATTCACCATAACACACCACCTCCAGGGCTCCTCTGACCATCAGTGTGTGTTTGGCTGCTCTGCTCAGTGTGTTGACGTCATACGTGTGTCTAATTCCTCATATTTGAAACATACTTAATAAAGTGATTCTGATTAAGCGCTGTTTGCTGTTTCAGGACAGCTCTGCGCTGTTTGGCAGACCAGAAAAATAAATAAATCAGAGTGCACTGAAAAAAACATTTCTGAAAATGATTAAATTCCAAAAAGGGCCTTAAACCGATCCAAGAAATCGGAGTGTGCAGTTCATACGACCTCTCATAATCAGATTACTGTCCAAATCAGATAACGATCATATTATTGGTGAGCATGTAAACACAATTTTAGATGTACAAAAAGATGGTTCTTTGGTAGACAATGGTTCTATATAGAACCGCATTTCCAAAAAACTTGGGACGCAGTGCAAAATGTGAATAAGAACAAAATGTAATGATGTGCAAATCATTTAAACCCCATATTTCATTGAAAACAGTACAAAGACACCAAATCAAATGTTGAAACTGAGAAATGTTATTTTATTTGTTATCAGTGCACAGTTCAAAAGCCAGTATTCATGATGGTATAGGGGGCATTAGTGCACATGGCATGGGTGACGTGCACATCTGTGAAGGCACCATTAATGCTGAACGATATAATCAGGTTTTGGAAGCATATGCTGACATCAGGCTTGACGAGGCAACAACAGCAGAAACTTCTTTAGTGCTACATAGAACCATCTTCCAAAAGGTCCTACACAGAGTCATATACAGCACATTCTCCACCAATCTGACGAACCTTCTCACCATGCAAAGAACCATTTAGGCATGCAAATGGTTCTATATACAGCCATTGTTTTTACTAAAGAACCCTTAAAGAACCATCTTTGTGTACTCCTGCTGTCACTCTCTTCTTCAGAATCTGAATCAGGCTGAAGGTCAAATATTACCGTATCTAATGTGTCCAATATTACAAATAACAGGTTCTCAGACACTGATTGTGTCAGCAGAGCTAACTGTTGTATAAATAGCATCACACAGTCTTCACAGTGGCGGCCGGTCAGTACAGACCTGCTGAAATTACAGTGACTCCACACTGTGTGGGATCTAATGTCCTAAAGCCTCTAATACAGGTACGGACTCACCTGTGAGGGTATTTGAGAGCGTAGGCCGCCGAAACGTACCCCCCGAGATTATGGCCCAACAGGATCATGACCTCCAGCCCCAGCACCTCCCTCCACTCTTCCAGAGACTGGACGAACTGCTCCTCAGCTTCCGGGGCCTGGACACACGCTGCCGGGCGGCTGCTGCGGCCAAAGCCCAGCAGGTCCAGCGCGTACACGGGTCGTCCGGTCTGCGCCAGGGTGGTCAGGTTCTTCACCCACAAGCCCAGCCCTCCCCCGAAACCATGCAGCAGCACCAGAGGAACCTGGGGGTCCTCGTTACTGCAGGCCTGATCAGATGGGTGGGTCTCGTTGAAGGCCAGAGTCCAGATGTAGTTCCCGTTGGAAATGGGCACGTGACCCCTGGTGAACTGGAGTTTGAGAGCTGGGGATGAAATTGAGGTGTGGTCAGTGGTGGGAGGTGCTTTCATGAAATTCTTGTCTGGACTTCAGGCGTCCATGAGTCGTATTAATCACTGATTGCGGAATGTGTTTTTGATCAGTGGGGGGTCAGACAGTGACCTCGGTCAGATTCATACTGGAGTTAAAATCAATCAGTCATACAGAAGCAGTTCTTCAGTAAAGGGAATGGTTCTATTTAGGACCATGAGGTCTACATAGAACCATTTCCATGCTTAAATGGTTCTTTGCACAGTGAAATGGTTCTTCAGATTGATGGAGAACGTGATGTTTTTGAAAATGGTTCTATGTAACACCAAAAAGTTCTGCTATTGTTACAAGCTTGACAACAATGAAAGAACCCTTTTTGGTTCTACATGGAACCAAAAAACACATTCTCCATCAATCTGAAGAACCATTTCACCATGCAAAGAACTGTTGCCTTTGCTAAAGAACCCTTGAAGAACCGTCGTTTTAAGCGTGTGCAGCAGAGAACCACAGACAGCTCCGAATCTCCCGACTCACGGTGGAGAATGCGGTCCTCTGCGGTTTTGAGGTGGGTTGGTGAAGATGGACACCAGGAGGGCAGCCAGCTGAAGATCCATGAAGATCTGAGGAACACAGAGAACATCAAACACAGACAGTCCACACTGATTACAGCGATTTCGAGAAGTATTGGCACCCTTGGTGAATATGAGAATATGAGAAAAGAGCCGGGTTTGATCTTTTACTGAAGGTCAGAGAAATCAGCCTTCAGAGGCCGAAATAAACCCTTACTAATAAATACTTTCCTCAAAAAAGCACCTGTGCAGATGTTGTTCCTGCAGTTTACATCTAAATATTTATTGCACTATTCATATTTGCACAGATGGTTACTGCATGTTTTTCATCTGCATTCTTATCATTTTATACATGCTGCTCTCATTGAACAAACTACCTACATCTGCATTCTCTCCACTCGCTCTGTATGTATATATATATTTACACTCGCAACATCTATATTTTTACCACTCTACTGTCCTTAATTGTACATACTTTAAACACAGCATCGCTTACACGGTTACTGTCCTGCACTTCATTTAATGTTTTTCAGTTTTTTACATAATTTAAAAAATGCCTGTTGTTCTTCACAATGTGTGTAAATTTCATGATGAATGGACCAAAAGAAACGACCCAAAATTACTTGTAAAAATTCTGGTTCCATTGACTTCCATTAAAAGTAAAGTGGGTTTTTTCTTCTCCTGTAAAGTTACTATTTTGGAGGTTTTGGTCTAACAGCAGCGAAATATAACAGAACTATAGGGGTTATAAGTAGAGAGAAACACAATTAAGTCAGAATTTGAGTACTTCGTTAAGATTTTACATTTTTAATTAAAAACTAAAAATATATTTGAGTGAAAGTCTAAAAGTATCTACATACTCAAATATATCAAAGTTATAAACAGATTAATGAGATGTTTTCCTTGTTTGGCTGTTGTCTGTGTTGTGGTGAGCAGTGGGCAGTACTGGTCCAAATCAGCAGTTAAGTTTTTTTGATGTCACTTTGGCTTTATATTTCAGTAGAATAATCAATTGAAAGATAGAGAGAATCTTCTGGACACTGAGCTTTGTAACCAGTGCTCTGAAGGTCTGAAGGAGAAATGTAAGGAGTAAAAGTGTCACAGCTATTCAAAGTACAAATCCTCCAAATGAAAACTTCAGTACAGTAACTGCAGCATTCAGCCTCACGCAGCGACACAGAGCTGTGATGGTAATTCAGTGGTACTTCATGTTTCTATAAGCTACAGTATATATTCTCTTTTGTGTAAAAACACTTTAATCTCACTTTAGAAATTAACCACTAACACTCGTTACAATCGCTGTTTTGTTCCATCAGGTTTAGATGATCGTAACAGCACAGCTGTATTAACACTGGCTGGATGAATTCAGGAGTTTCTGAACATATAAACCATAAATGAAAGTGAGTTATTAGGAGCTACATTACTGTAACTCAGAGTAGATCAGGAATCCATACCTGTCCCTCACCTCTGTCTGTAGACTGTACAGTCCTGTAAAGCTCTGTCCATCACTCACACTCACTCCAACACTGCGGCCAATCTGAGAGAGAACGTATTAGAACAGAGGAACAGACCGCTGTAGAGATCAGGCGGCCCTCTGACCCACTGCCCACAGGTCCCACAGGAGCTCCAGCTGCTCAGTCCAGAACATTCTGCTCTCAGCCTTCACCATCAGCCTGCCGGCCCTGCTGAGGGTCATTCAGGGAGAACCGGGGCAGAGTGTGTAGAACAGAAACAACAAAACTCCCCGTCCACTCACTCACTGCACTGTCCTTTAAAGGGCAACTCCACCAATTTTTCAAAAGTTCCACATAATTAACTGGTTAAGATGTAATCAGAGTGGTTCAGAGTGGTTTGGTGTGAAACGCTCTGTTCTAGATAAACTTACCGAGTCAGAACTGTTCACAGTGGTGGTGATAGGAACCAGACGTCCACCTCTAAAAGCTCCCTCACAGAAAGTTCCTACATGAAATGGTTATGAATTCACTGCCTGATGACTGAGACACTGTTTTATGATAGTTTAGAGAACTTAAACTCCATTCATGGTGGAGGGATACATGCAGGGCGCTGTGAGGCAAAATAGTCCCCAAAGAAAACTTATTATTTCAGATTTTCCTCTATTTTCCATCATCAACATTCCATATAAACTCAGAAGACTCGTGTAGGTTCACTGGTGGTTCTGAATAGTAAATAAAATGTCTATATTTGTGTTGTAGTCATGGCGACCCCTGGTTCCCATCACCACCACTGTAAAGACATCTGAACCATTTCACACCAAACCACTCTGAATCTCTCTGTTCACATCTCAATGACAAAATTCTGCAATTTTTTTAAAAATCGGTGGGGTTCCCCTTTAACTTCACTCCAGAAGATGTACTGCTGAGATCCTGAGAGTCACTGAAGAAGAAATCCTGAGTAGGGCAACAAACAGAAGCTACCTGTGTCCACATGTCTGTGTAATATTTCAACATGCGCTGGAAAATAACTATTTAAAATATATCTGGTTAATACAGCAAAACATTCTGAAATACATGTTACTGTTTGGAATGTATTTCGGCATCGACTACAATGTGTTTAAAATGTATTTAAAATATACAAAACACATCCATATATTTTTCCCATATGGATTAAAAGAATTATAGTTTAGTTTGTCTGTAATTTTGTCCCACAGCTGATTTTTCTTTCTTCAGTGAAACTCAAAAATCCAGCTTTGCCGGAGAGGCGCTAGTAATTTCGGTCACTCTTTACTGAAGGGCAGCGTTTACGAGTCTTTCAGAACGGACATTAACCTACATAAGCACTCATACAGGCTCATTCCAGCGAGCAGCAGCCGTTAACCCTTCTGAGGTGAAACGACGGCAGCGCTGACCGAACAGGCCAGTCCAGACGTGACTGTTAGACGAAGCCCGTAATGCAGGTGTGTCGGCTGAAAGGCGTCTGCAGGTGAAGGAGTGTTACTGACACTTGAACTGAAACCTGAACTGGACGTTTTGTTGTTTTGGCTCTGCACTCCAACACGGCATCTGGAGTAAAACAGTGACTGTAGGGGGCGCTGTTTTAAAAAAAAAAATAAAAATAAAGAACTACATTTCCTCACAAATACAACGCGTTTCCTAAGGGAGCAGAGAGCCGTGTAACTTTTTTTTTTCCAAAAATGCCTTAAATTGAGGGTAATTTATACACTGGTCACATATATAGTGATATATTATCACAACCGTACATGACTATATAGACACTACACCAACCACTGTGTATGTGTATACATACACACACACACACGCACAACCTTATACCACTACGTCACTGTACCAACTACCTTATACATATATCGCTGCTGTCAGATGAAAACCTTATATCTCCACTTTTGTCGTTTTTCAGTTTTTGACAAGTTGAAATCACCAGTTGTTCTTCACATCGCGTGTAAATTTCATGATGAATGGATCAAAAGAAACGACCCAAAATGACTGAAAAAATTCTGGTTCCATTGACTTCCATTAACAGTAGATTAGGTTTTCTCCTTTTCCTGCAAAGTTATCATTTGGGAGATACGAGGTTTTGTTCCGACAGCAGCGACATACAAGTTCTCTGGTGGTTCTGGATAGTAAATAAAATATTATATATTATTATTATAATATATTTGTGTTGTAGTCACGGCGACCCCTGGTTCCTATCACCACCATTGCGAAGACATCTGAACCATTTCACTACAACTCAGTGGGTCAAACAGGTCGATCTGAAGTGAAACACACAGAGTCGAGGCGAACAAGTCAAACAGATTTATTGGAGAGCGTTCAGGCCTTTTTGGCTGCGGTAGATGCAGCTTTCTGGAGCTTCTTCACTTCACGCTTGATGATTCTGTTCCTCTGCAGAGACAAACAGAAGCAGCGGGTCAGTGTCTGGTCTTCAGCGCCGCCCCAACATAGACCGGTTCATACAGCACAGACTGGTTTATACAGCACGGGTTAAAGCACACTTACCATTTTCTTGGCCTTCATGACCTTGAAGCGGTCAAAGTCGTTCATTTTGGCCCTCTATTAGAATGAGATTCAGCACAGATTCAGGTTAGTGATTAAATAATCAATGAACAGAAACATCTGGGTTTAAAGATGAAATATCTACAAACAACAGCGACGTGTCCTGGGCAGGTGCAGATCAGCTTACCTTCTGTCTGGCTTCGATCTTCTTGGCCCAGCTGCTCTCGGCCCACTTCTTGTTGATCTCAGCCTTCTCCCAGGCGCGCCTCACAAACTTCTGACGAGCGCTGTGGAGGGAAACATGAGGGAGAGACGTTTTGGGGCTGTGATTCTAGTACCAGGTTGTTTTTCCCCCCCACCAGGTACAAATCAGCCAAACCTGGATATGCTGTGAGTGTATTAGATGATATTTCTCATTACTGTCAGAACTGAACCTTGTGTATCACTACACTCTTGAAAAGACAGTTCTTCAAGGGTTCTTTAGTAAAGAAAATGGTTCTATAAAGAACCATGAACACTCAAAGACGCCTTTGCATGATTAAAGGGTTCTTTGCATCATGAAAGGGTTCTTCAGGTGGACAGAGAGAATGTGAATGAATGTGCTGTAGAAAAGGGGTCTATATAGCACTTAAAAGGGTTCTTCTATTGTTACAAGCTTGACACCACAAGAATAACCCTTTTTCAAAAGGTTCAAAATAGAACCATCTACAGCTCATTCTCCATCAATATAAAGAACCCTTAAATCATGCAAATGGTTCTTTGAGTGTTCATAGTTCTCTAATATATATATATTCTTGTACTAAAGAACCCTTAAGGCACCATCTTTTAAGAGTGCGCTTTGGTCACTACATTTTCAGTAATTTGACTCCCAGTTACCTTTCGCATTGTGTTCATTTCCTAAGAAGTAAAGAAAAAAACAGTCCAAAGTTACTTGAAAAAACAGAGCTACTTTAAATGTTTCCCTTCCTAGTAAAGTTACTATTTTGGAGATGCAAAGTTTAAAGCAGAGTGATCAGACAGACGACTGGAGAAGACGCTGGGTTACTCCGCTGATATCTGCGTTTTAGTCATTTGGCTCCATTTTTACTCTGCAGAATGAATGTTATTTGTCTGTAATGCTGATTCAGGGGTATTTAATCCCAACATCTACAGTTTACGCATCATCTCCTCAGAGCTGGAAGGAGCCCAGTAAGATGTTCCTGCTCTGAGACGACTAATTTGGCCCCGTAAGTCAGAGAGCGTCCTGAGTGATACCACATTAGTGCTTTGTGGTCCATAAAACATCATAAAAATAAACTTTATTAAAGCAGCTCATTATATATCTATGCATTATCCAGCTACGCTGGCCACCGCATGATAATCTGCTCTAATATAAACCTACTGATTTTCAGCACCCTGTCTAATCACTCCAGTTCTAGACGTTCATCATGAGAAGAACCATCTGCAGTTTCCCAACAATTTGCTGCTCTTGCAGGCAGAACGCTGGACATAAGCGCAAAGTTAGTTAAAATCACTGGTGCAGGAGCACAAAACGCTGCTGACGCTGCTCCAGCATGAACACTGAACAATCTGGGCTCAAACCAAACGGACACCTTTAACATTACACACACTAACATCACAATCACACGCACAGCAGGTTTTACTTACCTAGATGATCAACTGAGATACACTTTCAAATTTGGCTTCTTTAGTTTAGCACTGGATTATATATGAGGCTAACGTTGCTAACAAACACTAATAGTCAACAGACACACAAATCCTGAAAACATCTCGAAATCTGCTCAAACTACATCCTGGTCTTCATTAAGGTGGCACAGGCTTGTCTATATGGTTGCATAAACATGAGGGACACGCCATTTGGTGTGTAAAGTGTCTGACCAGAGTGACCACAGTGTCCTGCTAAACAGTGAAGTTTCATCCATGTTTGCGTTCAGCACAGCTGATTCAGCTCATCTGTTAACGGACAGGTTCAGTTGGTGCATTTTAGCAGTGAACTGTTCTGGACGCTGACCCTCCAGGGACTGGGGTCAAAGACTCCAAAGACCACTGTAAAGCACTAAAGTATCAGGGGTGCCCAGTCGCAGTCCTGACGACACAACACTGCGCATTTTTGTGCCTTTTATCTTGCCCTCATAATTAAACTCACTAATTAATCAATAATCAAGCTCCTGATGAGTTAGGGGTGAAACTCTGTTTACAGCAGGGTGATCAGTGAAGTGAGCGCCTTAACACTGACGTCAATGAGCCCAAATCAGGTTTGATAAACACTCAGACTCACCTGTGAGGTATTTTGATGACGTAGTCGGTGAGCTGCATGCACTTGAAGGGCATCGCCTGCCTCCTCACGCCAGTGCAGGGTCCATCCACCAGCGCCTGGACACAAACACACCAACAGGCATGAAACACCAGAAACAACGTGCTTTTGGTTTTGTTTGAGTCACCAGCAAAAGACGTATCCTTACCCTGTTCTGGTCAATGACGTCTACGATTGTCACCAATTTGCCCTCATGAGGCCCGAAGGCAACAAAGGCGACGCGGCCAATTTCTACGAAGCGCTTGAACACCTGGTCAGACAGAGAAGTCACATTCGTTAAACACAGTATCAGCAAATAATCACTTAAAGAAATTCACCTAGAGGAGCGA